ATATGTTATCCAAAGATATTGTCGTGGAAATTCCCAATATTAATCTGACTTCACCACAGACAACTCCAGTTGTTAATATAATAACTACAGTATCTCGGGCTAATTCCCTGAATTCCCCGAATACTTACAATATAATCCAATACTTCCCTGAAGTATGGTGACGGCGTCCCGTCAAGAAGCTACTATCACTACCTCAATCACAAATGAGCACACAGGTCTTTAGCATCTATACACTCTCACCGCCCTTCTCAGCTGTACGCTGTTAACTCAGCCCAAGGACGGCTCTATAGTCTTCCAACACAATCACTGTCTTTGCGGCGGTCTTTTGAGCATAGAATCTTTATTTCTATTCCTCAGCTGCGCAGCACATACCAGACACCACTCCCAAGTTGCTCTTTGCAGGAATGAAAGTTTTATTCACGGCTGAGAGCCCATGGTCACAACAACCAAGAGAGACTCCCTGAACAGAAGGATGCATGAACATTTATACCTTGTATCTGAGTAAAAATCAATGTCAGCTCAAGTCTTCTTCACTGTAATTGGTTACTGATCTGGTCATTGGTTTGTCATATGACTGTTAGTTCTACTGTTTTAAGCACTTTTTGGATAAGTATAGATTATTTAATCATAGGGACACAGTCTTTGATCTGAGCATTCTTAGTCTGCACTTTTCTGAACATTCTATGTTGAACATACCCTTTTGACTCCTTCTGAGGCCATTACATGAAATATTTCCATCACAATATGTTCTGAAGTTAATATGTTTCTCATCCACAAATCTCAATCAGATCTGAATGCCAGATTGTATATGCAGCTGAATATGAGCTCTAACTGATTATGACCAGATATAGTTGAGGGAGGAAAAAACACATAAAATAAAATAATTTTCTAGTTGTGTTAGTTGAAATCACAAACACCCAGTTACTGAAAATGGGCCTATAAAATCAGATTTTGTTTAATTATTCAGAGAATGAAACAGTGCAGCATAATACTAATACTAATACTACTTCTAATAATAATAATAATGGTTGTGTGTCAATTGATATATGAAGTTTTAAATTATATTTATTACCATACATTTTGTTTTTATTGTTTTACAGTTTAAAAGTACCATCTAGACTTTTATTGCAATTCAAGTGCTGCCATGAAAATACTTTTAAATGCATTTCATCTTCTTCAGCACACGATGGCAGTAGAAGAAAATGGAAATATGAAGTGTTAGAAAGTGGGATATGATCCCTGTCTTGCATTGTAATGTGCAAATTGTGCAATGAAATTATTAAAAACGGTAAAGATGTTTACAATTAATAAACATTGCTATTTTAAATCATTTTAAATAATTCACATTTCTATTTTCTATTTCATATTTTTAATCTGTTCTAAGCTTTTGGTTCATCATCAAAACAAAAAAACGTAAAAAACAACACATATTTCAGATTTGAATAAGCAGCACAACCGTTTTCAGTGAAGAAGAAGCAGGAGGACGAGGAAGAGGGTAATTTTGCGAAAAAGCAAACAATACAAGAGAAAGACATCAACATGATTTTCATCCGTATAAAATGGATCAAAGAAGCAAAGTGATAATTAACACAATTTCCATATATGAACTCTTAAAGGACTGAAATATCAGAGTGAGGAGCGATTTTCATAATTAGTCACAAGAGGGAGCTACAGCAGCTTCATCAGGAGAGTGAAAGTGTAAGTGACCGAGTATGAGCTCTACATTTATCCCATTCAAGTGAACACACACAGCAGTGAGTAGTACACACACACACACACACACACACACACACACACACACACACACACACACACACACACA